GGGGGGGGGGGGGGGGGGGGGATTCAGTATATGATTTGTTTGTTGGTTTCTCTATTGCTGCCTTTTTATCTAGTGGTTGGTGGATCTATTTTTGACTAGGCCTTAAGTGCAGAAGAATCACAAAGGAGCACCAAAAAAACGTAAAAACATTTTGAAGCAAACTAAATTTGTTCAGTTACTTCCAACTCTTTGTATCCCAATGAACAACAATTTGCCAAGATCGTCTGTCAGCAGCTGCATTTTTCAGTTCTTGCAAGCTCATGTTTGCATCAACAGTGATAGTATCTTGCCAACTTGTCTTTTCCTGGTCTCTCTTTCTCTTGCCTTTTCCAGAGTCTCTTGCTTCTTCATTATCTCATAATGAAATGTTACTTTCATTCTTATTACTTCCACTTTACTAATTAAATTATTAAATTGAATTGTTGCCTGACTAAATTGCTGTTACATTTAACAAATATACAGTACCAAAAAGGATAATTGTGTGAGTAAACAAAGTTATACATATTGCATTGTATGTTCTTAAAATATCAAAGTGAATTTAGGTCTGTAAAGTATGGCATAAAAATGAATATTAGAAATACTAAATAGATGTTATTTTCCAAAATTTCTGTTCTTTTTCAAAAAGAAAAAAGAAAAACCAACATTCCTGGAAATTCTACATCTCTAGCCATTACTGCTATGAATGAAGATTTAGAAAAAAGAGGACCTTGCTCTGAACAGCTTGGAATCTAACATTTTACAGCAATAAGATACAATATTTTGGCAGTAGAATGCACTATATAGATATCCTGGGTCCTTAGCATGGACACATGGCCGCATCAGTTGGCGCTCTGGCTCCACGCTCTGTGGGCTGTACAGAAGGAACTTGGAGTTCACCTGCAGATACAAGTTGTCTGCTGTTCTTTTAAGCTATGTTGACCAGTTTAAGAGATCAAGTCTGTATTTTCATTCAACCTCAGAATGGATGTTGGAAATTTTCTTGCAGTGAGCATCAGAAACTAAAATGTTCCATGTGCACTTTTTGTGATGGTTCCTTTTGGGGAAAAATGTGTAATTGTTGATATTTTTGTACTTAGTTCTAATGCAGCAGTTGGACAGCTAGGCATGAGATACAGTAATACCTGATCTGCTGTATCGAATTCCTGTAGTAACTCTGTCTGGAGAAAATGTTATAAGCTTATGAATAAACTTCTGCCAGCAAGATATATAACTAAAGAGGCAATAGCGTACAATAGAAGATGGAACCTAAAACCATGGAAGTTTGTTCATATACTAACAAATTTCTCAAAGATACTAGGTATTGACATATTTATATCTCAAAATCTGATTTTTCTTCTTGCTGGATGATTAGTGGGAGTTCAGACAGGCAACAAATCTCTGCAGTCGGCATGGAAAGCCCACTGGAGGAATCTCAGAGAGAATGGTCGTATTTATCACAAGTCTCCCTTTTTTTACTCCGCTGAGTCCTTTTCTGAGGGCTAAATTAAGCTTGAGTGTTGATTATGTGAATTCAATTAACCAGCCTCTTGGCTTGTTTGTTATGTAAATAGAAAGTGGTGGGAACCGCTGCTCCGGCTTCCCTGGTCTGCCTGTTGCATAATAAATAGAATGTAGATTAATTGCAGGTCTAGTTTAGCCATTGTGCAATTAAGGACCTTCTGTTTCATAAATATAATTTCTTTTCTTTCTCTAGTTAAAATTTGTCAGGAACAAATCAAGTCACTCAAGAACTATTTACAAAGGGTTAGTGACTTGTAGCAGCAAAAGGTAAATGAATTTGTTGGTAATTTCAGGAAGGGAGCACTTAGTCTGTTGAAGGAGTAAGCAAGAATCCACACCGTGGTTGAGAATATTTTAAAACCTTGATTTTAACTATCAATCCACTTAGCATGGACAAATGACTGGAGATGACTGGAATTGCAGCCCAACAACATACAGAGTCTCACCAGGTGGTAGCACATCACTGAACTTAGAAGCAAAACAGTCCATCTTGTTTAGTGCTTGGATAACAAACCACCAGAAAATATTAGGGCTGTAGGCTAAACTAGAAAGCTGAAAATATTAATATGGAAGAAAGCAAAAGCAGTAAACTATTTTATTGCTGTCATTCAATAAATTTTTCAATACAGCAAGTATCAGAAGTTTATCTGTCAACTCCAACTTGAGAAATCAAAAAACATTTTAGTTGAATTAAAGCACTTCCATATCATTGCCAGGAAAATCAAGAGGACATATTAGAAGTCACTCATGAGGTTCTTCATACTTTAAATATTAACAGGGTTTTATTTTGTTTTGATGAGATCAACAAGGTTAACTTATTAGAGGCAAGAAGCCATAGCAACATATATAAAATTTATGTATACTGTAGAAACCTAAAAGAGAGAATGCTGTTCCACTTATAACTCACTAATTCTGACATTCTTGGCCCCTTTATTTATTTAAACACACATGAGCCATTACAGCCATCATTTTCCAACTGATACCTGATGCATCTAGTGAAGAGGCTTGACCTTAGTGGTCAGTGCAAAAGTACCGTAATGTAGATGGTCTAACTGGCAGTAAGTGGGTATTCCAGTTTTCTGAGAGAAGCTGAAATTCTTGCTCAGAATTCTTGCTCAGTCTTGGCTCCGTAGCTGCCTTAACTGAAAAATGACCTTCAAAGCAGCCGCTTCTGCAGAATGATAAGCTGTGGAATAATTCTAAAGTCTTTTCACTGTAAGTTGACCTAATGCTGTGTGGACTTGTGGCCTTCATGATCATCTGGGAAGGTTTACCTGCTGTCCTCAGATATCAGAGGTTCATCTCCCTTGTCTCTGAAATGCACTGTCCGCTGAACTGAGGAAACTGGTTTCTTCCATTTATTTTCAAGCAGGCCTTTAACTGCAGATAGTCTAAAGTGGATTCTTAACTTTTAATTACCGAATCTTATTAATTCTAGTTTTACATTTTCTATTAGGAAGTTGAAACCATCACCAGATTACATAGTCAACGGTTAAAAACAAATAAAGGGTGTGGGAAGTGGGAGGACAATTGGAACCACATCTCTTCCTACTCAAAAGCAAATCCCTTTAGTACCCGATGAGAAAAGAGGTTCCAACTATGCCCTTCTTAAAAAAGCCCCGCCTTTCCTTCGTCGCCTGATCTTACGAGCCCCAGCCATGGATTTTTTGCGCACGTTCTGGCGCTGGAAGCTCGAGGAGTCGCCAAGGCTGCGCTAGGCGGCCGTGTCAACAGTGCAACGTGAGGCTGGACGTTGAACTCTGGCGAGGCGCTGGCAAAATCCCTGCCCAGAACAGGGAAGGGCCCTCCTTATCCGCCTTTCCCAGTCTCCCGCGGTGGGACCCGAGAGAGGCCCGCGCTCGCGACTCTCCTGGAGCTCCACCTGTTGCCGGGCTCAGCTGCAAAGAGAAGTTCTGCGGCCTGTTCCGGCAGGGGAGGGCAGACTCCAAGGCCCCGCTTTCGCTCTCGAAAACGCCCCCAGGTTTCCCCCTCTGCGCGATGCCCGTGGCGGGCACTCTGCGGGTCAAGTTCCGGCGGCGCCGCAACCCCGCGGAGGACAAGGAACCCATCCTCGAGCGGGAGGAACAGCGAGAAGCAGAGGCCCTGAGGGCTCCCGAGGACCAGCTTGAAGAAGAGGAGCCGGCTGGCTGCGCCTCCAAAAAAGTGGCGTTTGCCGTCCTCCCGGACAACTACCAGCCTCTCGTCTGGGACGGCGAGCAGCAGCCACCGCCGCGGAAAGCGGAGCGCGCAAGCAAGGCGCGCAAGAGAAGACTCAAGAGATACGGCAAGGTAAAACTGATCGCGCGGGGCCCGGGAGTGGTTCGCTCCGCCCCTGCCCAGCGCTTCGGTGCGCTCGGGAGGCCTCCCCGTTGGTCCTTCGCGCCGCTCAGGCTGCTGCTGGACGGCTCTTCCCCAGTTTCCGCTGCATCCGGCGGTCGGGCACATTTAAGAGAAAAATGGAACTGAGAGGGAAAGGGGCAAATTCTTCTGGGCCTTAATAACTCACGATACTTTGCAGGTTTGTAGTAAAAGTGGTTACAGGTGTTGGATTAAAGGCAGATTCTCCCCTTTCCGTTGTCATTGTTTAAAGGTGAAATCGAATTCAGGGACTGGTTACTATCCTCTTTCACAGAGTGCGAGGATTTTACGTGAACGGTCCTATTCCGAGAACTGCTGGCGGCGTGGAAGATTTGGGGTCGTGCCCCTTATGTATCCGAAGAGAGTTCATTGGATTGCCTGGCTGCGATCCCAACCAAAAAGCCCCCTCCTCACCTTCGGGGGCGAATGAGCAGAGCCTCTGAGGGTGGGGTGGCTGACTGGTCTTGTGCTTGCTGGCTGCCCTTTGGAAGAGGCCTTCTGAGGAAGTGGGGGGTGGGCTGTTCCAGGGAAGGGAAGGTGTTGCAGGTCGGAGTTTCTGTTCATTCCCCAAGTGGATGTTCCACAGCAGAGTTTGGGTGAAAAGCATTTTCTTCCTTTTGGTAGTTCCTAAAAACTTCGTAAAGGAAAGGCTGTGAAGTTAAACAGATGCTGAAATTTAATTTTTTTTTTCCTTTCAGGATTGTTAACTGGCAGCATCTTCCCTATTTATCTGGTCATCTTGTGATGCCACAGCTGAGCCAGCCTCTCCCAAAGGCAGTTAACTTACACATACCCCTGGCACATCTGCAATATATAATAATGGATAATTCAATCAGTTGTAGCAAACACTTTTAAATCCCTCCTACAGAGTTATCGTGTCTTGAGTCAGTTCCTTCCTCCTATTTTTTGGCACACATAAAAAGAAAATGGTGATGGTTAGATTTGGATCAGTACCAACATGGGTGGAGGCTTACTCACCTTCACCCTTTTTACCCCTCTTCCTCCTCCCCTGCCTTGTGTGTTTGCAGGATGGTAAAAAGTAAAATGATGACTGAGTTTCTAGAGAAGCCCTGTTTTTTAGGGCCATTCTAGGATATAATCTCTTTCTCAGAAACAAGGAGAAGGGGTTGACACTGTATTAAACTCTCAGTCCTGTTCACCACAATGGTCTCTGAAATTTGGAATTAATTGACATTGTTATGGTGTTCCCATCATACACTGTTCCTTCCTTGATTCAGTGAAGCGTGTCCTGCAAAGGTCTCTATATAGAACTTAGCCTTCTTCTCCAACACCGTGTTGCTGCCCCTTAGCATCTCTTGTCAGAGGTTACTGCTTCACTCACCTTAATGGTGAGCACAGGTAGTCCTTGCTTAGTGACACAATTGGGACCAGCAACAATATTGCTAAGCAAGACATGTGACCATGATTGACTTATGACATCACTTCCCATTCAATCATTAAGCAAGTCACTGTGGGTCATTAAGCAAGACATCACATGACCACAACTTGTGATCTTACTGGCAGCTTCTCCATTGACTCTGCTTGCCAGAAGCCGGCTGTGAAGCGCATAAATGACAATCATGACCATGGGACACTGTGATGGTCATAAATGCCCACCAGTTGCTAAGTGCCCGAATGTCGAGCATATGACCGCATGGATGCTGCAACAGTCGTAAATGTGAGACTGGTCATAAAGTTACTTTTTCAGCACCATTGTAACTTTGAACGGTTGCTAAACAGAGCAGTCATTAAGCAAGGTCTACCTGTAAAAGATTTCAGGCCAAAAGGAAGGTAGGGCACCAGATGGCTACTGCAAGACCTGGCTGATCATTTCCCTGCTCCTTACTCTTCTACCCAGGCAGGAAAAGCAGATTTCACTGACTGGTTCCTGTATGGAGCCTGCCTTTCCTTTCTCATTATTTCCCATGCCTTGCCTTTGCTTTCCCAGCTGTTTGCACACATGAATGCCTCTACTCCCCCTTCCCACATTATTTGTTTTGACACTTAGGTGGACTCTTCCTTTTTTTCCCATATGTTGTGTTTGTACTGTAGCTTTAAATGGTACAGTAACAAAAACAACAAGGAAAAGGTTGGGTTTTTTGCTCTAGCATTCCTCTATAGGTCCATCTAAACCAGTGTTTCTCAACCTTGGCAACTGGCTGGCTGGGGAATTCTGGGAGTTGAAGTCCACATATCTTAAAGTTGCCAAGGTTGAGAAACACTGTAGAAAGGACAGACTGATAATGCAGCTTTATAGAAACAAAGTAGCAACATTCCTGTGTTGCAACTTAAAGATACTAGAAAAATAAAGGGAAGCATGGCAGTCCTGTGAACAGTTTGGGCACAAATTGAAAGAATGCCACTCGGAGATCATAGAAACACAGGGTTGGAAGGGTCCTTGGAGGTCTTCTAGTCCACCCCCTGCCCAAGGCAGAAGTCCTCATGCCATCTCGGACAAATGGTTGTCCAATCTTTTTCTGAAAACCTCCAGTGATGGAGCACCCACAACTCCAGGAGGCAAGCTGTTCCACTGTTTAATAGTTCTCACTGTGAGGAAATTTCTCCTTATTTCCAGGTTGGATCTCCTTCTGACAAGCTTCCACCCATTGCTTCATGTCCTACCCTCTGGTGCTATGGAGAATAAATCAACACCCTCTTCCCTGTGGCAGCCCTTCAAGTATTGGAAGACTGTTGTTGTGTCTCCCCTCAGTCTTCTCTTAGTTAAGCTAAGCATACCTAGTTCCTTTAGCTGTTCTTCATAGGATTTAGCCTCCAGGCCCCTTATCATCTTCGTTGCTCTTCTCTGCACTCTTTCTAGGGCCTCAGCATCTGTAAGGGTTGAACTTCTAGGACTGAGGATAGTTCATTGACTTAGTGCCATTGCTGGATCAACTAGAAGTTTATAAAATAAAAGCCAGAGACTGCTGACTGGTAGAGAGCACAGCAGCCTGGCAGCCCAGGATGAAATGGCTGCCCAGGAGAACGACCAGCAAGTGGGTGTGCCAGGCACTACAGCCAATCATTGCTGGGGCTCCTACTAGAATGGAACAAAGTATTGGTGACCATTTGTTCTGAAGGGCTTAAGAAAGCTCAGGTTGGAAAATAGTTTTGAATTGAAGCTGCAAAACATGGGTGCAGAGCACATTTGCAAAAGGCTGGGAATGGGAGGAGAACAGCATCATCCAACCCTTTGGACAGGAAGGGATGAGTGGTTTGTACTCAGAACAGGGGAGGCAGAAAGTGCGGATCTGCCCTGAGAGTGTACATGACAGAAAGCTACCTTTCACTCATGGGGATGTGAGTGAGCCTGAGGTCTGGCATGTAGTCTGCATTCCCCACACACACTGACACACAACTACATTCACAACACACACACACACACACAGCCTTCAGAAGACTAATGTACATAATAAAGCGAGCTGTAGCCTATGAAAGCTTACGCCATAATAAACGGAAACCAAATCTGTCAAGGAATTGTTTACTCCTGCATTACAACCTTTGTAACTCAGGTGCTTTAGAAGACTAGGTATGTGAGTTACAGTACATCTGAAAGTATTTTGCAAACAGCAGCCTGCTGTGGAAACTGTTGAATTAAATTGTTTTCTTTCAGTTATGATGAGTTGCAAGGATCATCCTTCCGAAAGATGAGATGGTTGGGTAACAAAGTACAAAACGCATGCTTGAAATGTTGAATTAATTAAAACACTATAGCCATAGTTTGTGTTGATACTCGAATTAGTATCAGGCAGGATCTATAACACGGTTGTTTCTTCTATCAACAGATTTCAGTCTTAGAAAATATCTTAAGAAATATATTTATTTTAAAAATCATTTAAAGGCTTTTATTTGACTATAATAAGTTTGGGTCTTTGTTTCTTACTCAGAAGCTAATCAAAAAGATTCTAGGACAGCCTTCTTTGTCCTTTGAAGAATGGATAACTAATGCAATGGTTGCTCTGAGCTGATAGATAACAATATTATTTAAAATAACTTGGTGAAGTTTTATATGCTATAGCTGGTGCCACCTTCCTCACATTCACAACCTTTGTGGTCTTGAGATCCAGGGTTTTTATCATGCCTTTGGCATTCTGAGTGTTTTCACTATATGGCATGTCCTAATTGGTGGGGTGGAGCATGTTGGCTTGCAAGGTAGTTTTTAGATTAGAGATCCTAACTTGCTTAAACTAGCATGAGCATGCTTGGGTAAAACTGGCCAAAATATGCTAAACTTATAGGTACTGTCCTTATTGTTAGCAGGGAATGCTGCAGGTGTCCCAGATATGTCTAAGACTAATAACCTAGTCTATACCCTATCTTTCTTATTAAAAAGTACTATGTCAAAGTCTCAATTGATCAAAGCCATGGAGGACAGCAGGAGTCAATATCTGTGGGTTCATCTCGTGATGACCACCACACATGTAATATTGCAAGTTTGAATATAAGAGGAGGAAATGGTAAAGAGTATGGATTAACCAATGAGAAGAAAGGGGGAAAAAGTTAGGTTGTGCTTTGTTAAACTTAGAGAAATTGGAAGGTTGTAATAGAATTGAATGAAGGTGGCCTGATCTGATGGAGTGAAGGTGATGAATGCATGCAGAACAATGAAGACGTAGATTTAATTAAGAATGAAAAGTATTATCAGAAGGTGTTGTGGGTATATATGAGAGCAGAAGTGCATCAGATGCTGATAGTTGCATGTTATGCTTCAGTAAATGGTGATTATGGAAGAATCAGAGATGAGTGGGGGGAAATTATGCAACATTCTGAATCTAATAATATTGATTTGATTGATTTGATTTTTGAGGAAATACTGAGATAATTAATGAAGAATGCAAAAGTGATATCCTGGAATGTAGGAGAGACCTACATTTTTGTTAGTGACAGGACTGTATCTTGGTAAAAAAAAAAATGGACACAGAAGGAAAGAAGTAAAAGAAGTGAAAATAGAATGACTACAGGTAAAGCAAGAATTAGCCTTCTGTGAGAATGAAAAAGTATTACAAGATATTCTCCCAACAGAATGCAAGGAAAGTAAATACAAGGAAAAGGATGACGATATAGATTGTATGCTCCTAAGAGATGGGAACCTAACTTTTCTTTTTGCAGTGAACTATGCAAAATGTATTGCAATATACAGACAGTAAGGTCTAAATAAATCTGTTATAACAATGCAGTTTGATTTATCTGGATCTGTGTATGAGATGTGTTAGATACTCTGTGGAGCCTTGCAAAGGAACAAGAATGATCTTTGAAAAACAAAGAATTTGTTAAATCTAGCAGAGGAGCTGGCTGGTATTTTTTTTTCCCCCCCTCTTCAAAAGAAACTATTTTGATCAGCGTGAAAGTGAAATTGATGTTTCCCTAGAGATCTATAGAGAAATATGTCATTTCTGCCTGGAAAAGATTCTAAGTAAATCCATGTGACAGAAGAGGCTTTTTATCTTTTTTCCCTGGTATCTCAATTTTGTCAGTGCTTCAGTTAGCAGAAAGTGTGCTTCTTCCTCCCACAATAGGGACAAAAAGACAACATTTCCTTTCAGGGCAGATTCTAGAGGGCAGCTTAGAGAATGCATCAGCACTAACCTATTACTGCTTGAGATGCTACTGAAAATTTTGTTCCTGGTGTTTATTTACTTTTCCCATTTATGTGGCTCCTTATGTTCAAGGAGCTTGGGGCAGTC